GGGTGGGTGGAGGGATTGAGCAAAAAAGAAGAAAAAAAAAGAACTCATGGACATGGACAACAGTGTGATGACTGCGGGGGTGGAGGGGGATGGGTGGAGGTGGAAGAAGTCATAGAGGGGGAAAATGGTGATGGGAAAAAATTAAATTAAATTAAATTTTTAAAAAATTTCCTTCTAGAAGGTAATGAAAAGTAAGGAAAACCCTCTTGAAAGCTGCCAACACAGTTCCTCTGACATGTCATTGGCCAAGACTGGGCCATAGTCTTCCCAAGGCAATTACATGTTGAGGATAATTACATTGGCACCACATGAGTGACCTTAACAAATCATTTGGAGTAAAATGGTTGTTAAGGCAAACAGCTTGACCACTGAAATCATAGCGAGAGCATAAAAAAAAAAAAAAAAAGTTTTGCATTTTTAATTATATTTATTGGGGTAACATTAGTTAATAAGATTGTATAGGTTTCAAGTGTACATTTCTATGACACATGATCTCCATATTGCATTGTGTGTCCACCACCCAAAGCCAAATCATCTTCCATCATCATATAGATGACCCTCTTTATCCTTTACTACCCCCACCCCCTTCCCTCTGCTAACCACCATACTGTTTTCTGTGTCTATGAATTTTTGTTTGTTTTTCTTGTTTGTTCATTTGTTGCTTTCAGTTTTATATCCCACATCTGAGTGAGATCATATGACTCTTAATGTTTTTTGTCTGACTTGCTTCGCTTAGCATGATACTCTCAAGTTTCATCCATGTTGTTGCAAATGGCAGTATTTCATCTTTTCTTATGGCTGAGTAGTATTCCATCATATATATGTGCCAAACCTTCTTTACCCAATCTAGCGAAGGATGTCTTGGACACCATAAATAATGGTGCAATGAACATAGGGGTGCATATCCCTTTGAGAATAAATGTTTTCATATTTTTGAAGTAGATATACAGAAGAGGGGTTGCTGGGTCACATGGTAACTCTATTCTTAATTTTGGGGGTGACCTCCATACTATTTTTCATAGTAGCTGTGCCAGTTTACATTCCAACCAGCAGTGAATGAGGGTTCCTTTTTCTCCATAACCTCTCCAACACTTGCTATTAATTTTCTTGTTGATAATAGCCATTCTTACAGGTGTGAAGTGGTATTTCATTGTAATTTGATTTGTGCTTCCCTAATAGCTTATTAAATTAGCATCTTTTTATATATCTGTTGGCCATTTGTATGGCTTCTTGGGAGAAGTGTCTGTTCAGGTCCTCTGCCCATTTTTTAATTGGATTGTTTGTTTGTTTGTAGTTGAATTGTATGAGTTCTTTATATCTTTTGGATATTAACCCCTCATCAAAGCTGTTGTTTGCAAATATCTTCTCCCATTCAGTTGGTTGCCCTTTTGTTTTGTTGGCAGTTTCTTTTGCTGTGCAGAAACATTTTAGTTTAATATTGTTCCTTTTTTTTTTTTTTAGCCTTTAGTTCCCTTGCCCTTGGTGTTAAATTCATAAAATCTTCTCTGAGACCAAGGTCTATGAGTTAGTACCTATGTTTTCTTCTATGTAATTTATTGTTTCAGGTCTTATATTTAGGTCTTTGATCCATTTTGAGTTAATTTTTGTATATGGGGACAAACAGCAGTCTAGTTTTATTCTTTTGCATGTGGCTTTCCAATTTTCTTGGCACCATTTATTGAAGAGGTATGTTTTGGCTCCTTTATCAAAAACTATTTGCCATTTGCCATATACATGTGGATTTATTTCCATCAGCTTCTTTATGTCTGGAAAATTCTTTATTTTTCCTTCATATCTAAAGGATAGCTTTGCTAGATGTATCATTCTTAGCTGGTAAGTTCTTTCAGTAGTTTGAATATTTGGTTCCACTCTCTTCTAGCTTGTAGAGTTTCCATTGAGAAGTCTAATGATAACCTAACGGACTTTCCTTTATAGGTTACTTTCTTGTTTTACCAGCTACCTTGAGAATTATTTTCTTGTCATTAATTTTTCACAGTTTTAATACAATGTGCCTGGGAGATCTTTTTGGATTTAGGTAATTAGGTGTTCTGTTTGCTTCTTGGATTAGAGCAGCGGTTTTTAACTGGTGTGTCATAGCACACTGGTGTGCCACAAGAAATTTTAAAATATGCAATACCTGACTATTTAGTCAGGGGCACTGATCCCTTTTCCCTTAGATTCTCAAATTTAAAAAATGACAACAGCAAGCACAGCAATAACCATACGGTGTGAATGAATCAAAATTTTAGGTATAATTTTGGCAGATTGGCAAACGATATATTTTTGGTATGCTGCAGAATTTTAGTAATTAGTTTACATGTGCCAAGAGATGAAAAGGTTGAAAATCACTAGATTAGAGGCTCTATCTCTTTCCATAGGTTTGGGAAGTTCTTGTAAACTATTTGTTTGAATAGGCTTTCCATTCTCTTCTCCTTCTCTTCTTCTTCTGGTATGCCTATTATTCTTATAATGCTCTTTCTGATGTAGTCCAATGGTTCTCATAGAGTTCTTTCATTTTTTTATGCTCAAGTTTCTCTCTCCTTCCCCTTACATCATTTCTAGATTTCTATCTTCAACATCACTAATTCTTTCCTCCACCTGGTTAGCTCTATTTCCTATGCATGCTAGTTCATTCTTTATTTCTTTTATTGAGTTCTTCATCTCCAGAATTTCTATTTGGTTCTTTTTTAAAGTTTCAGTCTCTGGTAAAGTACTTATTTTTTTAACTGATTTTTTTTCTGAGCTCATTAAGCTGCCTATATGAATTTTCTTGCATCTCACTGAGTTTTCTCAGGACAGCAATCTTGCATTCTCTGTCATTCAAATCACACATTTCCATGTCTTTAAGTTTATTTTCTGGAGATTTTTCATTTTATTTCTGAGCTGGCAGAGGAATGGCCATGTGAGAGAACCTCTGGGTCCCTCCCTTTGAAGTTTAAACAATGTGAACAGCTATAATTCAACAAAGGATCCCCTACTCAACACACAAACATATCTGAGAGATCCGTGCATTGAAATATCTGAAGGTGGGCAAGCGAAAGTGAACCAGGGATGTAAATTAATGGTCTCCATTAATTTATCTTACAATAGCACTTAACACTTCCCCCACCCTACCACTACCCATTCTCCTCTTCTGCTTTAGTTTCTCCACATCACTGTTAAGAATCATGAAGGACATAAGATTTTACCTGATTCACAAGCTAACAATAGCTGTAGCCAAGCATTTTTTTCCAGTTTGGTAGAGATATCATTGACATATAACATTGTGTGAGCTTAAAGTTTATGTGATGGTTTGATGTTACATATATTGTGAAAATGTTTCCTACAATAAGGTTAGTTGTGCTAGTTCCTTTAGCCCCCATTTCTATAAGAGTGAAAGGGCCCAGAAAATACCTGAATATGAAGTGGGTTGAGTTATAGGAGAAAACCTGAATCTGAGGAACCTGGATACATGAGTGAGCACTAAGCATCCCACTCTTTTTCTGGAGGGGAAATATTTTCTTTATATTACTGGGCAGTAAACTTGCCTTCCTTTCTTTAGAGGGAGCCATACTCTCTCTCTATCCCAAGGCCATATAAACTTCTTGAAAAAAATAATGTCTCTGCTTATTAGGTGTACAGTATTGAGAGACTATGCAGACTTATCTCCCAATAGGCACTCGCAATTTCTAACAACTAAAAATCCTTTTTTCCTTCATAGTCTTCTTCCTTCACTAGATTGTAAACTCACAACATTTCTTATTTGAATTTAATTCTTGTCTATTTTATTTATTGATAAAACAATGCCTGGCACATAAAGGACATTCAATAGAGATTTGCTGAATGAAAAAATGAATGAATGGAAAAATATACAAGAACTAATCACAATGCCAAAACATAGGCAGATGATTGTTAAATTAAATAAATTAATAATATGCACTGCTTTACAACAGCAAAATATAATGCTGGACTTTTTAAATAATTTAATTGCTTGAAAAAATACTTATGCTAAGTAGAAAAAGTATACAACTTGCAGGTTGAAGATTATCTCAATTTTGTAAATAAAGACACACACACAATTTGTGTAGGAAAATCACACAATTTGTGTAAGAAAAATGCACCCAAAGTTCCAGAATTCTAAAAAAGGCTAAGTACAGGTTATTTTTATTCTCTTACCTTTCCCTTTTATTGTCCAAATTTTCTCTAATTTGTATGTATTATTTTAATTATCAGGAAAAACAAACAACTTTACTTGGAAGTCTTTATTATTTCATAAAATAAAAAGAGTTTTAGAAAGAAGAAAGGCAAGCAGCCTGAAGCTATAAAGCTGCTTTTAATCACTTCCACCAAGTGCAGAAATCCTCTCGACATCCCTAGAGACAAGAGACTGGTAGAACGCATGGTGTATAGTTGATGGTCAATATTCTTCAGAAAATGGATAGTAGGGGTGATCAATAGCACTAAAAGAGAAAGAGGGTTATTCATTTACTAACCTGGTCCCATGCTGTCAAAGAGAGGGTTTCTCTGTGGAGGCAATCAGGATGGGCTAAAAACTCTGTTTCTAACCATGCCTTTCCTTCTACCTTGACACACAGACATGCAGTTCCCCATCCATGTGCTCGATTCCCACATTCACATGCAGTAGAAAAGCCAAACGACAGGTAGTTTGCTTTAGATTACAGTTTGCCATGAAATGTAAGAGCCACGGCTGAAATGTGGATTTGGCCCACGTGTCACTTTTGGCCCTAGATCATGAGAATGTTCACAGTGAGAATTCTACTGCCCTTTTTAATGAATTCATTCAACTATTCAGTATCTCTCTGTTAAGGAACTCCTACTCTCTTGAGCAGCTAATATGTATGCCTATGTAACCATACCAGCCCATTGTAATTATTGCTTTCAGACAATTTATAAAAATACTTGTTATTCAGTAATTAGTGTTACAGTCACTTTCCTTTTTTTCCAGGTTCTTATTTTCCTTTTTAAATTTGTCCTTTTTGACTTGATTTCACTAAAGAGTGTATTCTGAGATATTCTGTGTGCCAGAAGCTGTGCTGTTCACAACTGGCTAGGAAGACAGGTGCTAGTACAGTCTCAGGCCTGATGAAGATCACAGACTTAGACTAGACTTAGAGCCCTGGAAACAGAAAAGTTACTTCCCACGTTTTTTTCATTTGTAATGTCTTTTCTCAGAATCACAACATAGCTTTACAAACAAGAAGGAGAGTTTTGAGATCTTTCTTTTGAAACTCAATCTATTCTATAACTAAAATTGTATTCCCTTATCTCTATACTCCCTTACAAACTCCTCTCAGTTTGATGAGTCTTCTTTCTCTTCAATCCAAAGACCCTCCTGCAGTAACTGAACAATGGGCCTGCTATGTTTGTGAATCAGTCAAAGTCAAGGAGTGAGAGGCTTTCAGGGGCTAGTCTCCCGATGGACAAAGGCAACACTGAGCAGTCTTGAGTCAAAAAACAAGAGAAATTCAGAAGATCTTATGTTGGTTTATGCTGGGGACAAGACACATCAGTCACTAGGGTCAATTAATTTTGTGATCCATTTATAATTCAGTTTGGTGAGATTACATGACTGAGGAAATGCAGTTTATGATAAGGATAAGAGGCCAACAAAGAGATACATTTGGAAGAAATGGATGGTGTCTTGGAAGAGGAGAAATACCACTGACCCATCAGGGAAGAGGTGGAAGGAGGTCCAATTATGACTTTCTCACACACACACACTTGCCTTCATGGGTCCTTCCTCCATAAAAAATATGAATGTTACATTCTACAATTGTATTAGGTCAAACATGAATAAAGTCCAGGCTGGACTCATTACTACATGGTGATTGATATAATCATGTTTTCTCCTGATTTTAAAAACAATTAAAAATTGAAATATTTTCATAGGCTCCTATAAACAATAATATAAACAAAGCCACTTTATAATGAAGCCAGAGCTGCCAAGCCAGAGGAACTAATTGCCTCTTATATTTTATGCCTCACACTTTTGGAATGTTAAAAAGGGCAAAATATCCTTTGGAGTGGGCCTGAGCAATAGTATACCAGGGAACTATTTTCAAAGATAACAAGAAAGCAGTTATTGTGAGCACTGACCGGACTGATGATCACTGGACTGAAAATTAAAAATGTTGTTTGGAATTAACATCACTGCCTTCCTTCTGTGGATGTAATTATTGTTTCCCTTTCCTTATAAATACCCACTGCCTTTGTCTCCCAATCTGAACATTGTTTGGGCTTCTGCTTGAATTAATGATTCCCAAATAGCTATTCTTATGCATCTCACTCGATAAGTGCTTGTTGCCTCTTACTTTGAATGGCCTTTTATTTTTAGATTAGCACCCTTAGAAATATAGTGGGCTGTGGGCACTGTGCCTTCTGTGTCAGATCTGAGTGGAGGTATGTATACCAGGCACAGGAATTAGGGCATAAAAGTCATGAATTCACCCTGATGCAAACTTTGGCCATTTTACTTATGGTCTCTCCTGGGCCCCACCCACATTTCTGTTGGGTCAGAGACTGAGCCAGAAGTAAACCTCTGGTCTGAGGTCTCCAGGAAGCTCTAGTTTTACTTCTATACCAGAAATCAGGCCTGTCTCCCAATTTAAGTAAGCTGAGTTCCTCTACTAACCTGCATGCTACAGAAAACAACCTGGGAAAAACAATCTACAAGTCACTTACAATGGCAATTTAAAGAATCGGAAATTTCTGTTGAGGCCATCAATCGCTTTCATGTCTTCTGGAGTCAGTTCAAAGTCCAAAACCTGAAAGGAAGGAAAGAATCACATTAAACTCTCCCCCAAGGCAGCCAGCATCCACCTGGAAACAGGAGGACTTTCTGGCTGGACAGAGGCAAGGAGGGCACTAGGAGAAGCATCGCTGTTGTCACTTCCGGGTCTACTGGCCTGAAAACTCTCCCCCCGGGTTTGCCACCTCTCCTTTACTCCCTCTCCTCCTCTGCTCCACCTCACAAAATAAAGGCTTTTATAAATCATCAATCCCAAATCTTTCTAAGTTAATTGTTTGCAGCAGGAAAAAAACCTTATTTTTTCTAAACAGATAGTTGGGCCATCTGGACAAAATACTTGCTGACTGGACCAAACTTTAGTCCACTCCCCCTAACCCCCGCGTACATCCTAGAATTTGATGCAGCCTTGAACTTAAGCAAGCTTTGGAAGGAAAAGCAACCCCCCTATAAAGGCCTCTCCAAGAAGCCACTGTCCTCAAGAAAAGCATTGCTAATCAACTATTCAACCACACACCTGCTCATTCTCTCTCTTGTCATGTTTACTTCCCTATAAAAGAAAATATCTGATTGATTTTTGGGACACTGATAGATCTAACATTCAGAGAGTTCTCCCTTTGAATAAAGTATCTCTTACTTAAGTCCAGATTTGTTTTTGTTTGATAATACAAAAACATTGGGAGAGTCAATTAATAGCAAAGCAGACCTTTGCTATTAATTGACTCTCCATTAAGGGAGAGTCAATTAATAGCAAAGCAGACCTTTGATAAGAAATATTAAAGCAGGAAACTCACTATTTCATCCAACTTCATAGAAAACTCAGTGCCTCTATCCAAATCTATCTATCTATTTATCTACCTATTATTTATCTATCCATCTTTATTCATCTTAAAAATATACTCTAGAAGTGACTTGGTTATCATGGGGAAATATATACGCACACACACAAGGTGTCCCAAACAATGTATACATAGTTTGAATAATTATAAAGGCAGTGTTTATTAAAATACATTTCATTTTCAAAATTTAATAGAATCTATGGACACTGTTTAGTTGTTTTGAGTATACATTTTAGGGGGACAGCCTGTATGTGTTGAGTTGAACTGAAAAATAAAATGGGATTTTTCTGGTTGTTTTAACAATGAAATTTAGATTTGCCTATCAGATATTTCCATACATTGAATGACCTAAACCTACAGCTTCAAAGTTTTGGAGCAAATACATGATAAATAATATGCTCTAAATGTCATTTTTCACAAATATCAAACTCATGATGAAATTCTTAGCTGTCATCTTAAAATGGATAGAGTTTACGTAGTTTCTTACGAAGTTCACAGCAAAATAAGTTGAAGATCATTGATTGATCTAAGGGACCAGAAGATACATGATGGAGAATTTAGGGAAAATAATTATAAACTCACTTGTTAATTTGGTCAGTCTATAAACTGATACGTAGCTCCCTACCTGCCACGAGCTATGCTGGAGGAAGGTGCCAAAAGAGAGAGTCACTGCATTTAGGGTCTCCCAGTCTAGAGAGCACACTGACATATAGACAAGAAATTTTAGTTTAATAAGGAAAAAACTCAGTAACAGAGCCATGCCAAGAGCTATAGTGACCCAAAACTGTGCTGAGGTGGCCTGATGGCTTAACAAAGCAGCTAATCCTTTTTGGGTTTCATCTTGAAGTACAAACAGAGGTTCATTAGGTAGAGAAGGTGAAGGAGAAGGACCAGGGTTTTAAAAGTTCTTTATCACATGGAAGGACTCCTAAAACCAATGAAAAAACAGAGATGAAATGTGCTCAGTGTCACACAACTAGGAAGCAGGAAAGCCAGGCTTAGAGGCCATAAAACCTAGGACTCTGGGGCCAGTGCTTGCTCTCCTACCCTTCCAAGCTGCCCTCATAGCACAGGGGAGAGATGCACAGGAATGAGTGAACATGGGTGCAAGCTGAAAGGCTAGAGAGATAACCCCCAGTACAGCACCCATTCTTCATTCTGGAGGGACAGTGTCCAGCCTGTACCTGGAAGTTCTCTTTTATTCTCTTCTCATTGAAGCTCTTGGCCAAAACCACCACCCCTCGCTGTACTTGGTAGCGCAGGGCCACCTGGCCTGGATTTCTATTGTGTTTCTTGGCAATGGCCTTCAAAACCGGTTCCTCCAAGAGAACAGGGCTATCCTTTTCCACCCTGAAAACAAAACCAGAAAATGTAGATTTGAAAGGTGTAGAACTAGAAATCTAAAATGTGCTATCCCTTTTTCCCAAATTCCCCAGACAACCGAGAGAAGTGTGGGTTGTGCAATACATCCATTTGTCAACATTGTACCACTAAGATTTATGCACAACAAGCTGTGTAAATTTTATCATAAAATCACTTTTATAAGTAATATTTGGAGTGGGGTTTGGAGTAGATGGGTGTATGCATGAAACAAGAATGAAAGAATGTTGGTGCTTGTAAAGGTTCCCTGACGGTACCCAGGAACTCACTACACTATTGTGTTTGCTTTTTTTATGTTTGAAATTTTCCATAATAAAATTTTAAAGCTTAATTTTTAAAAAGTTCTTCATCACCAATGAGTTGCTGACATAGGTTAAGTCTGATATTCTCATTACCATTTTTGGTCTTTTTGGGACCCTAGGGCACTATAGGCAACAAGAACAATATCCTTGGACTTGCAGAATTCCAGGAGTTTGCTCTGGTTGAGGTATGGGTGACATTCCACCTGTGAATTGCAAAGACCAAGAGGTATCAGAATACAAGAGCCAATACCATGTAAATTTGGAAAGCCTTTGAAAGAATATCTAATATATGCACCATATTTTCCTGGTCATTTTCTCATGCACCTTCTGAAATACCTTCAAATGCTATCCGTTTTCAGAAGTGATAAAACAATTTTCTTATTTTTTATTAGTGTTTAAAAATGATTAAAGACTGTTACACTCACGTTGTGACCTCTACATGTCATTTCCTACAGAAAGAAACCAAGATTCCTTAGAAAAATGTCTGATTCTGGTACTGAGCAAAAAAGTTTCAAATTGAGCCTAGAACATCTTACATTCAAGGAAACAAAGGAGACAGAAAGGACACTAAGGGATGTCAGAGGACTCGGGCTCACCCGAAGAAGCATCTTCTGATTAAAATGCTGACAATTTGATCATCAATAAGAAAGTAACTACATTTGTTGAAATTCATGAATTCACAATTACATATATGTGATCAAGTCTTTAGACGTAACCTCCAATTTACAAGAACAACAAAATTGTCAAATTGTATCACAGGGATCAATCAGAAACACCAATTGTGAGGAAATGTTTAAAGAAAAAAGGCGTAGTTTCTCTCATAAATAAATGAGAGAGAGAGAAAGAGAGAGAGAGAAAAGAAAGAAAGGAGTGAGGGACATCTTTTAATATATTATGAATTATTTTTTACAAATATATTCCTAGATAACTAAGATGAAGAGTACAGATATTTAAATGGTTTCTTGCATAGTTTTCAAACCGTTGTACAAAAGGGATATACAACTTCGTAATATAGTGATTGAGCATTGGCAGCATTGATTTTTTTAAAATTATTTTTTAATTATGGTGTATCCCCTTCCCCCCTTTCCACTGCTTTGCTCTTTCCAGCTTTTCCCCTTACCACTCTGTAATTGCTCCTGTGAGGCTTCCCATGAACTCTGTGTTATAAAACCCCATACCCTTTCTATCCCTAACTGGATTGGCTGCTCCCAGCAGGATCCACCCATAGCTCACACAAACCTTTTCAAGAATCTTCTTTGGCTTCACAGACACCAGGTGTTCTTCATTTCCTCCCTCCCTGTCTGCCACCTCCTGCTTAATCCCCTAGCCAGTGCCTCTTTGTCTAATTCTTAAATGTTGACCTTGCTGCTGTCTTCCTGTTCATTCTAGGAACTTCCCTAAGAGAGGGAATCCATTTCGCTGAGTTGGAGTCAAAGCAATGACTCCAAAATACGTACCTCTAGCCCTGTCTGCCTGCCTGAGCTCCAGACCTACACTACCACCTGGCAACTCAGCATCTCTACTTGTATGTTTCCTGGGAACCTCAAACCCACCACTGAATAACAAAAATCATGATCTTCCCACTCCACTCAACCTGTTCCCTCTCTGGAATTTCCTGTTACAATTTAAGGAACAAGCAGTTGGCATCAAGCCAAAAACCTGGGGACTCTTAATCGAGAAAGAAGGGGAAGAGCAGAAAACAAAGAAGCCACAGGCACGGGCTTACCTGGTTGCAGACAGGCTTGTACTTGAGCCCTGGTTTGTTCAGGATCATTTCCAGCAGTTTGTGATTGAAATTGGACACCCCAATGGACTTGGTTAAACCTGCATCCTTACACTTCTCCAGGGCCTGGGGGGGAAGTTCATGTGTGGTAGATCTTTAGTGTAGTTCAGCCCTGTCAGTGAACTTTTTAAAACATACATAACAATTTAGCTGAACCGGTTTTATCACTGGGATATATTTTTTTCCTAATGTACACTCAGGGCAATAAATAAACATTAAGATGCCTTTACATTCCCCTCACCTCCCTGCCCTCTTCCATGGTGCATATTTTGCTGTTAGACAAATAATAGATCCTTGACAAATGGTGTCACAGTTAAGGGCAAAGAGGAACTCAGGTTTTCCACTAGTTGAAGGTTTTTCTGCTTCCTCTTTCCTAGAATGGTGAAACAAGTGTATGGAATGGGGTTTAGAAGGGCAGACTTTACTCCTCTCCTGCTAAGCAGACAGCACCATCTTCCCCCTCTCTGGTTGTGTCTATCTGTCCCGGGATGGAGCTCTGACTCCTCTGGAGTTTGCTTCCGACAATGCCCCTTTTAGAGATCACAGGCTTAGCCTGATCAGTGGAGCAAAGAAGCCCCTACTTAGAACCACAGAAGTTAAAAATGGACCTTAGCTGTGATCTGTTCAATTCCCTTGCTTTACAGATAAGAACACCAAGCTATTGAGGAGCTTGGTGACAGGTCTGAGAACGGACAACGAATGGGGCCAGAACCCATTTATTCTGACCTCCATGTAGTGATGTCTTTGTGTTCGCCTTGGGTGGCAGTAGCAGTACTTACCTCCCATGTGTCACGCAAGTCCACTGTCTCTAAAATAATTTTCCCATTGGCATCCTTTGGCATAAGCTCCTCTCCAGGCTGGGATACAGAGAGGGGAAAGGATTAAAAAGAAAGACTTTCTTAAAGAATTCTTTTCCTGGTAAGTAGCTTGGTAACACAACCTTCAAGAGGCTGTTATTACTAAGCGGTGTGTGTGTGTGTGTGTGTGTGTGTGTGTGTATGTGTGTGTGTGTGTGTCTTTCTGTCTGTTATGTAGAAGATATTGGGGGAAAGGAAGATCAGAATCACCTGAGAGACTATAGCAAAGTGCCTCTCTCCAAATTACCTTCACACTCCTGTCCACACACACCCCAAAAAACTTCACTAAGAATGACATCACTACATGGAGGTCAGAATTGATTTTGTTCTGCGAAGGCAGGCTGATTTGGATGATGGGATTTACCTTTACTCTTAAGAATGTGTTTTAGTTCCAGTTTATGGTAACCCAAATCAGAGATAGCGAGAACAACAGATGTACTCAGCAAATGTCCATTGCAATGAGAGGCTGGACCAGCGATGCCCAAAGGAGCCCTGTGTGCAATATAAGCCACCCTAGGGTGCCTCCCTCTTGATTGGGCTGAGAGGTTCATGTGCAAGCAACCCTCCCTCTAAAGAGGTGTGAGCTTCCCACTGTGTCTCTACTATCTTTGTAACCCTCTCCACTAAGGGACTACAGACAGGAGCACATCACTTGGACATGGAGAACAGTGAGATCACTGAATTTCCATCCTTCTGAAGGCGATGGGATAATGACAAGAATTTGATGGTGAGCTGACACAGCTGCCAAGGAGAGTCATAAATCATCTAGCATAAATGATTATGAGTCATAAATCCACTACTCTTAAATCTACCACTCTCAGTATGAACCCAGAAAATCTAGCCAGAATGAGATAATGGAGGTGCAACAGCAGTGATGAAACACTCTTGGGCATAACAGGGGAAACAAAAGCTGACCTTCATAGCTATTGGCACATGAATGATGAAGAGATCGACATAGTCCAGTTGAAGTTTCTTCAGTGATCTTTCCAGGGCTGGTCGAACCAATTCTGGTCGAAAGAACGTAGCCCAAAGCTGCAGTAACCAAAAGAAATAAAAAATGGCTTATGATGTCGCACACTTGGGAGCCGAAATTAAACATCATAGTTAAGAGATTGAGAAGTGAGTGCCCATCCACAGTGGTGGTCTAAAAATAAGAAGTTATGGGGTTAAATTTATATTACTTAGTGTAAATGAGGTTCTTAACGAGATACTGAGATTTATTTGAGTGACTGTGAGAAAACTGTAAATAAAACTTATGGGCCAGGAAAAACAACCTAAATGTTTCAAGAATGAGAAAAGGCACCTCTGAAAGGAGAGTCAAGAAAGTCAGGCAACGGGGATGGGAATCTAGTGCCCTGTTTAATAAATGCCTGGAAACAGGACTACTGAGAGGTCTACATTCTGAAAACAAGTCATCATTGATGTGGACACACATGGGACCACTCTGTAGAAACCTAGGCTCTCTTTATGTTGGAAGCAGTGTTTTCCACCTAAGAAAAATTTTACAAATTTCAGTAAACTCAGTACTGACTTGAAAAGAGTATTTCCTAGTCTGGCTCCCCTCTCTGGATAATATGTCAACCTCACTTGGGTATGTGCTGAGAGAATTTGCTGAAGAATGAGAGGACTGCAGTGGCTCAGTCAATCCACACAGCAGATGAAGAAGGTAAGTATTTTTATTCATGTTTTACATGTGAATGCTGACCTGTTTAGAGAGGTTGAGCAACTGTGTCCCACACTTAACACATTCCAGAGCAGAGCAATCCTTTTCTCTTTTCTGTTTTTCTATAACGAGACTTTACAGCCCTGGCCGGTGTGGCTAAGTGGTTAGAGCATCTGCCCACACACCAAAGGGTCTCAGGTTCGATTCCCTGTCAAGGGCGTTTACCTGGGTTGCAGGTTCGATCCCAGCCCAGTCGGGGTGCGTGCAGGATGCAACCAATTGATGTGTCTCTCTCACATCAGTGTTTCTCTCTCTCTCCCCCCTCCCTCCTTTTCACTCTCTCTAAAAATCAATTGAAAAAATATTCTCAGGTGAGGATTAACAAAAAGATAAAAATAATAATGGGACTTTACAATGTCAGGAGGTAAATAAATTATTCAAACCAGGACCAAACTTTTGTTTTTGTTTCATTGCAAAAGAACCTATCTGCTCTGACAGTGACCTCCTATACTCCGCTCACAGCACCTTGGTGGTGTAGAATATGTCCTCTCTCTTCACAGTGCCGTCTGCAATCTTCTCTCGAAGGGCCTTGCCGACTTCCTCTTCGTTTTGATAGACGTATGCTGCGTCAATGTGACGGAAACCTACATCGATTGCCACTTTGGTGGCCTCAGCAGCCTTGCTCTTAGGAACCTATAAAATATAGATAAGATGGGTTGGCAGTTGACCTGATTCAAGAGAAGCAACTTATTTCCTTATGAGTATGTTTACCAGCTGTTTCTACATGTCTCCTGTTCACCTGATTGATGGGGCAAGACCTGATAACAAACCTGTACTCTGGGGGCATGGATTAAACTCCAATATAACCTCTAATCTGAAATGAATTAGCGAAATGAGCTTCACCAAGCACCATGGAAAATCAAGCAACATGGAAAATCAAGTCCTTCAATAAGGAATTTGTTCGCCTGGCTGGGCGTGGCTCAGTGGTTGAGTGTCGACCTAGGATCCAGGTGATCAGGGTTCGATTCCCGGTCAGGGCACATGCCCGGGTTATGGACTCAATCAATGACTCTCTCATCATTGATGTTTCTCTCTCTGTCTCCCTCTCCTTTCCTCTCTCTGAAATCAATAAAGATATATTTTTAAAAAAAGAAAGAAAAAGAAAAAGAATTTGTTCAACAGGCCCGGAAATGGAAGAGCATCTGGAACACCCTGTCATCCTCACTCGAAGTTTCCCACTGGGGGAATTTCTGTTGCCTGTTTGCTCAACTTTAGGATCTGCCAGATTAAAGAACCTGATTCCCAGTGGAAAAACCTACCAGGTGACGCAGGAAGGGTTCCACCTAACCCAATGCCATGGTTACCCCCTAGTCATTCAGGGTTCACATGCCAGGAGATCCTGAGTTTAAAAGGGTAATTGATCTTGCTTTTCAGAAGAAGATAGAGTGGCCTCTATATGATGGTGGCAGGGAGGAGCATATCTGGAGCTCACACAAGTCACTAGGGCAGGTCTTGGTGCTTCTATGCTGGTAATAACTGGTAAATGAGCAATGTTAACAAGTACCACTGGGCAAGGGTGTGGTAACTAAGTACTCAGATCTGTCAGTAATTACCCCACTAGGCCAGCAGAAGTACTGCCTGAACGTGACTGGGATCTAGAATGGCTGGCAAAGGGGCAAAAAAGATTATAACGGCCTTGGACCCAACTGAAGCAGTGGGGAGTGTGCCCTGTTATGTGTCTTGGTTTTATTGTTGTTACTATTGTATAGATTACTTAATGACAACATCATGAACAATTTTTTAATCTCATTCCAACTTTTAAAAGGGGTCTTAAAATTAATTCCCTTTTTCCCATGGGAAAATATTTGAACTCTTCTGCCTGAAATCCATACTCTCTCCTTCGGGCAAATTTTCATCCTTTTCTCTTCAGTCCTTCATGCCTTCTGTCTCACAGAAGGGGGGGGAGGCTGCCCCTTGGTCAGCATGAGATCATCTGTGAAAGGACTAAAGTAGAAGCGTGCCTCTTCTACTTGAATGGAGCCGATCCTACTGCTCATTAGAATGCCTGTGTCTGACACCAAGCCTTGCTTAAGCTCAGCTCACCTCCTCCTTGAACCCCCAAGCTCACATCAGCCTCCCTCATTCTGAACATCTCAACCTCCCCTGGCATTTGGTGATATAATATAAGCAGTTTTAGGTAGCTGTTCACCCGTGCATCATGTCTTTATCTAGTTGTCAAAATGCCAGAAAAACAGAACTATGTTCTGTGCAAATTCCCTCCACGCTAGGACAGATTTTAATATCAAGTTTACTCTTGCCTGGATTTAGTTCATTGATTTATCAGTTAATAACTACATATTCTACCTGGATTATTTTGAGAGTCACACACATGAAATCAAAAAGCTTATTGTTTCTTTCTGCCCACCAGGCCAAACACTGGTTTATTCATTCTAATATTTATCTCAGCCTCTGAGGTGACTAAAATCAACAAGCTAGTTTCACGTGCAGGGGGGTTACATGAGGCTGTCCCTTGGCCAGCATCAGAAATTCTGTGAAAGGACTGAGAGGACAGGACACTTGAGCCATATCAGAAAAATCTATAGCGAGAGCAGGTGGATGCAGAAGGAGATGCCCGGAGAGCTGGCTGCTGCTCCTCACCTCACCACATAGGAAGGCGCTGCCTGTGGGCAAAGCCAGCATGATGTGAACACGGCCTGCCTCAAATTTCCAATGGTAAATGCCTTAAAGACTAAATCTGATACACTGAGCTTGCACGTTTCCCAAAATAACACACCTGACTCAACAAAAGAAGTCACATGCATGGATGCTGGACCATGCTTCTTGTTCCTTCTGTGACCTGCAGTAAACTGTTGATGAGGTCAGGGGAGTTGCATTTAGAAAAAGAGCTCTGATTAGGATGTAAAAGAAGCTTCTATCTCACTCTGCACTTTTGTACTATACTAAGCAGATATACATGTTACTTTTATTCTTGAAGGGACTAGGAGATATTTTGTTCTATTTTCTGTCTTTAACAAAGGTAATAAAATTTGGATATAATGTATGTAAGACATACTCTGTGCTTATGCTCTTACAGTGGATACTTGGATAATTATGTCATTGCAAACAAACTGGCCCTGTCTGACAGCTAGTGGCTATTGATATTTTATGTCATAGGTCTACCAAGATGGAATGGAATGGTCTCTGTCATTTATGGGGGCAATCCCTCCCTGGAAACCCCAAAGCTGCCGCTTTCCCACTGTGACCAGTGGGACACTTTAAGCGCCTTGCATTCAACCACAGGGATGTGTGAATAATACATCTGATGAGGTGCACAGTTCTGTCTCCATTGTTACTTATGCCTACAGTACTCAGGTTTCCTTTCTAAATGTCTAACACTTGGAACAATAGTGGCTGGCCCCTTATATGACAGAAGTTTCAATGACAGGAATTCTCTGGCCCACAAACCCACAGCAAAGCTGTCAGAAGCAGTCGTGTTACTTGTCCTCTCCTCCTGGGCCCACTGCCCATCAGGGGTTCTAACAAAGAACAGAGTGACTCCGACCAAGGCAGAGATGGGTCCAGGAAGAGCAGCCAAGCTTAGATTTTAAATAAGTAAGAAATAAGAAGAATCATAGTACTTACCTGGGCTAGTTGTTGGGAAATTAAAGGTAATGCATGTAAAATACTTAAAATACATGGTAAGCATTTCATGTACATTAAGTAACCAAAATAGTAACAGTAATAATGGTAATAATAATAATAATAATAATAATAATAATAATAGAGATAATCAACCCTCAGAATTATTACCTCTGACTCCCCAGATTCAACTACTTATCATCCCACTTAGTACAAAGTCAGGGGTGGTAACATGGAGGCCACATGAGTCCTTCCAAGTCACCCAGGATGTACTAGGCCCTCCTAGGGCTGTTGCATTCAACCCTCTGGTCCCCTGGGTTTGACTTACATCTTCAGAAGCAAGAGTGCCAAATCCAAGCACTGGCATGAAGTGCCCATCATTTAGTTTCACAGAATGACTGCATTTGGAGTCCATCACTGTTTACAGTCCTGGCTAACTGATTCTGACTTCCCTTCCTCTTCCTGACTGCAAGCCGAGCAGAAGGTGGAGCTCCAGCATTGTTTATGTCTACCAGCCACAGCAAGGCGTGCCTGGGATTGCAGCTGCACAGGATTCTACAATGGGAAGAATCGACCCACTATGTACTTCTTCCAGGTCCCGGCAGGCACAGCTCCCAGAAAGAGCGTATAGAAATGTCATGCACACTACAAAAGCTGGAATTTTCTCTCCAGCATTACTCACCCTGGACTTCTGAGTTCAAAAAAAAGCAATTAACCATGTCAAGTTGTACTTGATAATCACAGCAGACTTACTCTACAAGACACAAAATAGTCATTAGGCTGGTCATTTCTAAACACTAACTCTACTATAGGACCTTAGTTAAGTTCTTCACCCTTCATTTGGTCCAAAATACCATCAAAAAAGACGCTATTCAGAATTTCTTGAACAGAGCTCAATGCCTGGTCCTGAACACGCATGCAACAAAATTCCTTAGGACCCCTACCCATAATTTCATTACCTTTTCCCCTGTATCAAGACTTCATTCCACCTTCTGATTCTCTGTGTCTTGTTTCTTTGACTCTTTTTGGCAAGAAAAAAATTGTCTGAGATCCAGGATGAGTTTCTGTAGTTTTGCCTTTGTTTCAGCTAAGCCTCCTCCTGGAACAGCCTACTCAAGTACTCCTATGTTCCCATGAGCCCTATGACCCTGACTTATCCTAAAAGCACATGCTCTTGCCTCCTACATTTTTTATGACCTTGCCAGAGGTGTAATCGCTTTTTCTTGTGTGCCCTTGCATCCTTACTGTGTCTATTAATGGGACTCAAAAAACTGTATTAGTGAAATTACACTCTCAACTAATAAGAAACTTCTACTAGATAAAACCCTTAGAGTTGTTTTGTTTAATGTCACCATTATGCCATGCTTCCCCCATCCTGTGTTTATTTGCCGAACCACAGGACGTAACATTATAATTTATCTTATTTTCAAGCCATCCCTCTGGCTGGTCAAGGTCAGAATACACCAGATTCTATTATTTCATGTATTTAGTATTTGCCACAATTATACACATGATGAGTATACTTTTTATATTTTCATTGTAAAATTAGGGCTAAGTTCTGTGTCACATCACAAGAAAATTCTCGCAATTGATGTTAATAGCCTTGAGCACATCATTCAACAGGTTATAAATTAGTCTAATATCCCTTGCAATATTTATCTGTATTTTGCACTAAATGCCTTGTTGAAGTGCAGAGACACTATTTCTTCCTTACCTCCTGATTCAGCAGCCTAGGAACTTTATCAGTAAGAGAGGATGGGTCAATTTCTCCCTTAGTAAAGTCAGACCAAGCTCCCTTCTTCTCTTTTAAAAAGGTCTCATAAAACTTGCATTTAAACATTATCCTAAAACATTTTTAGAGATTGATATCATGTCTGACAGGATATGGTTTTCAGAATCCATCTTCCCTTTGCAACTGGAAAAACATGCAGTGTTTGCTTCACACACCTCTCCTATTTTCTAAGATTTCTCAAAGGCTGCCAATGAGAGGATGGTCTCAAGGAGCTCATGGTCCGTTAGAGGAGCAGTGGGCACATCAAGATGGCCCCAGTGATCCCTGCCTCCTGGTATTCATGCCTTGGTGTAATATTCTCTCCTTGAGTGTTGGTGGTACTTGTGACTTGCTTCTAACCAATAGAATATTATAAGATAAAGGGATATGATTTCCATTATTAGGTTATACAAGATTGTGACACCTACCTTGCTAGTAAACTCTATTGCCTCTCAACTTGCAGACTTTGATAAAATAAGGGAGCAATGTTGGAAAGGCCAACGTGGCAAGGAGTTGGGGGTATCCTTTGGACACCAGCTGGCAAGGAACTGAAGACTTCATGCCAACAACTCCCAAGGAGTTGAATTCTGTCTATCACAGTCTTGGAATCAGACCCTTCCCCAGCTGAGCACTCAGATGTGACCCCAGCTTTGGTTGACACCTTGATTACAGCCCATTGAGGAATCTGAGTAGAAGATCCAGCTCAGCTGTGCCATGTTGCATAACAAATTATTACAAACTTAGCAGCTTGGAACTAATACAGGGAGACAGGTTAAATGGAAATTATGACTGCTCAGCATAAGGAGACAGGACATAAAGATTCCTAGGGGAACATGTGATAGAAGGCAGGTAACCCATGTTACATGTGTTAGAGATTCTTTTACAGTGACCTCTGCAGGTTTCATGATGACTTCTGAATATTCAAGAATTGTATAAAAGTATATATCATTTAATAATACATATTTAATTAAGTAGCTATAATGTGCAAGACACGTTGTGGGCATTATGAACAAACCAGACCCAAAAAATCCCTGCCCTTGTAGAGGTGACATTCCAATAGTAAGACAATGAACTAATTAATATAGAGAATGAAGATCACGTTATATGATGAGAAATACTGCTCAAGAGAAGCAGCTACTGCAGATCTTCACAAAGTATGAAGAGAGGGCGTTGTGATATTTCTCGATCTGTATCATGAACTCCTCACCTTCCTCGCCCTCTGAGAACCTGCCCCATCATTTCTCACTTTTCTGGATGATGGGGCAATTTTTCTCCCTGTCACTTACTCCCTCTCCTATTTTCCTTGAAAGCCAGGAACAAACAGAAACTGCCACCACGGTGCCCAAGTCTTTAAGGAACCAAGTAAGACTTTTCTCCTCCCAGAGCGAATCCAGCTGCCAGCATCGCCCTTGCAGCTGCACCGAGGGAGACGCTTGCTGGGTTACTGTCAGGACCCAGCAGCTAGGATGATGAATAAGGGATTTCTTCTCTTCCATACTGAGCCAGTTACCTCGCAGGAAGAACGGGTGTCCCAGCCCTCCCGTATCTAGTACCGTCTGGGGAAAGGCGGGATTGTTTTAAAACGTTTGCTTAAAGGGAAGAGCAATAATTATTAACACAAAAGCTAAGAAGAGTTGGATGGAGTCCAAGTTACTCTAAAAGGAGATTTAATCCCAGAGAGAAGGCAAAATTTAGTTATGTCTCTGCGATTCTGAAGGAAAGGATGACTCAGGGTAATGAGAAAAGTCTTCACATTGCATGGGAATAAAATGTCACGCAAGGACAGAATCCTTCCTGAACAGAAAAAAACTTTGACTAATAGGCTGGGATCCTGTTTCAACTTGACTTTACCACCCATATGAACAGAGTAGACAAAAAGATGGCTTTCAAGGCTCTTAAATGACTCCTGAAGAATCTGGTTACGTCCTTGCCTCTTCTCACTGGGCCAGGTACACAGGGTCATCCTCAACAACCTGTCTCTGTTCTGGGGCTGCTCACCACCCCTCACTCCCAGGCCAGGCCCCACGCCAGCTGAGGCCTCCTGCTCTGGGCTTCTGGGCTCCCTCTCCCAGGTCTGCCATTGCAGGCAGGGGCTCCGGCTCTACACAGAGTCTCCTTACACACACTCCCTGCAGCTAGAACATTATGACTAGGCTCTTGCCAAATTGTCAACTAGGAAACCATCAGAGTCATGTAAGACTTGAACCCCCAGCTGAGGCTCCACCTGAACTGCACAGGACTCCCTCCTTCCCACCTCTTGGGTCTCTCAGCTCCAGTGTCACCTCCTCAGAGAGGTCTTCTCTACTGGCTCACTCCAATCAAAGCAACTCCCCATTCTGCACAGCTTCTCTTCACCTCACACCTGATTTAATTTCTTCCGAACAATTGCCACTCTTTGAAACGATGTTACCTACTCATTTATTTGCTGGTATGTTATCAAGCATATTGAATCATTCAGCACTGACCCCTGCACCTACAAACACTCCCAGCATGTAGCTGGTGCTCAATAAATATTTGTGGAATGAATGCAGTTGACCTCTAAGCATAATCACATTTCCCAGTTTTGTTATCCTCTGTTCTTAGATTTTATGAACCCAAACTATTTCTAAATCCTTAGTAAAAGTTGCATCCAAAACTGCTCAGCTCGGGGAAATTGAAAAGCCCATCTCGCAAGGGAACAGAGTATTTTTCATCCCTCCCCTAGAGGCCAGTGTTGATAACAGCAGTGACAGTGGTCAGGTACAGCCAGGCCCACCTGAGTGACATATCTAATCACATGGAAAACAGCAGCACAGCAGGCTGGCATGACAGGTAACCATAGGGATAAAACATGAGAGGGCTGGTCATGAACATGTGTGGGACAACAGCCCTAAGGAGATTTCAAGATTGCAGGAGACACTTCGAGGGCACAGCTCTAGTCACGAGAAGAAAGGGAAGAAAGAAACCATGCTGTAAATTTAAACACAGGAAATTCTACTTGGGGAACTAGTATTCAAATTGTTAGAGCATCTGGGAAGCCAACCAGGGAACATGAAGCCACCCAGAGGTTTTCAGAAACAGTCAGCCACTGCTTGTTGTTCATGTAGCTAAGAGACAAAGGAAAGGAAGGTTACAGCCCAGAACTGGTGGGGGGTCCCCTGGCAGGGGGTCCAGGCATGGTGGGCCCTCTGAGTGGGAGCTAGAACTACTGACAAGATGGAAGCTGCTGTTACATCTCTCAAAAAAAGGAGGGAAAAATACCCCTACTCGTCCCTCCATTTCTAGTTTCTCCTCAGTGCCTCCCAATACCCAAACCCAGCTGGAGACCAGCAGACTGGGAAGCCAGGACACAGCCTGCAGGGAACAACTCTCCTGGCTACAGCCACAAGAAATGGTTAAAAGGGGTCTGAGGGCCAGCACTATAATGCCAATCAACCCAGCAGCTCTTGGCCCAGTGTCCTAAATTGGGTATCGATGAATGCAGCCTTCTTTTGTACCCCATGCAGGTGGGGCCAGAACGTTGGTTTCATAAATGTAAGGGTGCGAACTGTGTGGGTTAACTAGAATGTGTTAAAACTTGCTCCTGGGGAAATGCTAACTTGCATTAGCATTCACAGGATCAGGTCACCTTTGCCAAAAGTTGGGATTAGCACAGGCGGGGCTAT